GGGGGGTATACAAGAAAAAAATGTAAATGTGGAGGCAAAAAAGGTGGTAGGGATGGGGTTGGGTAGGGATGGGGTTGTTTTGGGTGTGGGAGGGGGGATTATTAAACTTTGCCCATCTGCAGCGGTTCCAGTGGCCTAGAAATGACGAGAGTTCAGACTCACCCAACAATGTTGGTTGTGCGTCCTACAGGTATGAATGGTCGGCGCAGAAAGTGCTCCGAGAAGACACCTCGTCATGATCATCAATTTCCTAAGTCATTTTGGGGTCGAACATGGCCTCATTTAGATGATTGGATTAGTTCTCCAGATTTCTGTCAAAAGCGGTCTTTTGTAAAACACATTTCCTTGCAGATGATACGAAAAACGTTGATCACGGGCGCACAAAAACGTAATTTGCAGTTATCAAATCCTAGGGACTTTCAAGCTGTGGACGTCACTAACTTTGGCGGCCATTTTCTCCCTAATTTTCCTCTGACACAAGGTGACCCCACCTCTTTCTGTTTTGTTTCGGTAAGTGTGTTATAACGCTCGCAACTGCATATTATGGTCATATGAGCTCCCTGCCACCCCCTTCAATTCAATCGCAAATATATCTACTTCTATTCAAGATAGAAGGGCACGATTTTCATAATAATATCAAAAGGAAGACAAATGAAAAAAGATTGAAGATCATACCAAAAACTCTACTTGCCCAAAAATTGTAAGCGCCTGATTCCACCATGCCAAAAACTCTATATGTCCAAGAATTGACGAGCGCCTGGTTAAACCGTGCCAAAAACTCTATGTTATATGCCCAAAAATTGACGGGCGCCCGGGTCCACCGTACCAAAAACTCTATACATGTAATGTGCCCAAAGACTTGACGAGCGCCTGGTTTCACTGTGTCACGACACGTTTACCACAGCTCAAGAACAGGGCGACGCCCCCCCCCCCCCCCCCCCCCCCACCATTTTTTCTTTTATTAAAGTAATTTCAGGCTAGAATGTCGTTAAATTCTGGGACAGCAATCCAAACATGATACGAACGTACATGCCTTTTCACATATTATACCTGTTTACACACGCCTTTTCACACACGCCCTTTTTCTCCTGCACATACCAACATGTGTTTGAACAGCGGATCTTTAATGCGCAATGTGCACTCGTGCCTTTACAAAGAAGCATTCACAAACAACATGCATAATACACGCACACACGTGCAGACACGCACGCAGGCAAATACACAAATATATCATTATATAATGTGCAACGCAAGTCTGAACTCGGAAGAACAGACTAGATCTAGGCTTAGAAAGCATTCTACGGCTCGTAATATCAATGTGATATCCAACAAGCGAATACGAATTATATCTCTTTCTCTTTCCATCTCGCTTTCTTTTTCTAGTTCTCTCTCTCTCTCTTTCTCTCTCTCTCTCTCTCTCTCTCTCTCTCTCTCT